ATCTTACTTATGTTTAAAAGGTGGGACTGTATAAGGATACTAAAGTCCCGCCTATTAAACAAGATTAGTGATTGAATCAGACTAATGGTATCCTCCTACAGTTCCACCTATTTGACATAAGTAGGGATCGAATCAGGACCTATGTTATCCTTCAACAGTCCCACCTATTAAACAAAAACAGGGATTGAATCAGGATCTACAGTATCCTCCTACAGTCCCACCTATTAATCATCAGTAGGTATCGAATCAGAACCTATGGTATCCACCTACAGTCCCACCTTTTAAAATCAGTAGGGATCAAATCAGGGCCTATGATATCATCCTAAAGTTCAACCTTTTTAACATCAGTAGGGATCGAATCAGGACCTATGTTATCCTTCTGCTATCCCACCTATTAAACATCAGTAGGAATTGAATCATAATGTATGGTATCCTACTACATTAACACATATTAAACATCAGTAGGGATCGAATTTCGATTAACAATATAGTATAAAAAACATAACTAGGAATTAACTAGATTTTGTTATTTTTAATCATGATAGAAGAAAAGGGCATACTTATTTGCTTTATTCCGTATATAGTTTTGATTCAATCCCTACTACTGTTTAATAGGTGGAACTGTAGGAGGATACTAAAGGTCATTACTCAAGTCCTACTTATGCTGAATAGGTGGGACTGTATAAGGATACTAAAGGTTCTGATGCAATCCCTTCTTATGTTTAAAAGGTGGGACTGTATTAGTATACAAAAGGTCCTGATTCGATCCTTACTTACGTTTAATATGTGGGACTGTATAAGGATAGTAAAGGTCCTGATTCGATCCCTACTTATGTTTAATAGGTGGGACTGTATAAATTCAACCTTTTTAACATCAATAGGGGTCGAATCAAGACCTATGTTATCCTTCTACAGTCCCATCTATTTAACATCAGTAGGAATCGAATCAGGACATATGGTATTCACCGACAGTCCTACTTATTTAACACAAGTAGGGAACGTAATCATGACCTAGAGTCCCACATATTAAACATGAGTAAGGATTGAATCATGACCTATAGTATCCATCTACGGTCCCTCCTATTAAACATGAGTAAGGATTGAATCATGACATAAAATATCTATCTACAATCCCTCCTATTAAACATGAGTAAGGATTGAATCATGACCTATAGTATTCATCTACAGTCCCTCCTATCAAACATGAGTAATAATTGAATTATGACCTATAGTATCCATCTATTAGTCCCTCCTATTAAACATGAGTAAGGATTGAATCATGACCTATAGTATCCATCTTAAGTCCCTCCTATTAAACATGAGTTAGGATTGAATCATGACCTATAGTATCCATCTACAGTCCCTCCTATTAAACATGAGTAAGGATTGAATCATGACCTATAGTATCCATCTACAGTCCCTCCTATTAAACATGAGTAAGGATTGAATCATGACCTATAGTATCCATCTACAGTTCCTCCTATTAAACATCAGTTGAGATCAAATCAGGACCTATTGTATCCTACTACAGTTCCACCTAACACCAGTAGGGATCTAATCAGGACCAATGTTGTCCTCCTACAATCCTACCTATCAAACATAACTAGGGTTCGAATCAGGACCTATAGTATCCTCCTACAGTCCCACCTAATAATCATCAGTAGGGATCGAATCAGTACCTATGTTGTCCTTCTACAATCCCACCTATTAAACATAAATAGGGATTGAATCAGGACCTATAGTGTCCTTCTACAGTTCCACCTATTGATAATTAGTAGGGATCGAATCAGGACCAATGTTGTCCTCCTACAGTCCCACCTATTAAACATAAGTAGGGAACGTAATCAGGACATATGGTTTCCACCTACAGTTAGTATCCTTCTAAAGTCCCACCTAATAACATGAGTAGGGATCGAATCAGGACCTATAGTATCCTCCAACAGTTCCACCTAATAAACATGAGTAGGGACCGAATCATGACCTATAGTATCCTCCTACAGTCCCACCTAATAAACATGAGTAGGGACCGAATCATGATCTATGTTATCATCCTACAGTTCCACCTTATAAAAATAAGTTGATAGTTGTATCATATGCAATGATACCACCACTTTCTATTTTTATACCTATATCAAGTGACAGTAAGGTATAAAAAAAACATAACTAAGAAATAAATATGTCCCAAATTTTGTTATTTCTAATCATGATACAAAAAGGTATAATCATTTGCTTTATTCCGTATATAAAATGAAAAAAGAAGAACACTTTAAATGACGTTCATTATTAGATATATAATTTATTGATGTATCTTCTCTATTTCTTTTTATTTATCTGTCATCAACTGGGGAACTGAAAAAAAAATAACATCATAAAAATGCAGAATAATGATCTTCTTCCTCCTATATAGGCATATAACAGGAATACTTATACAACTGAACATACAAAAAACTTTCTTTTATTTGAATTGTTCTTCTTTATCAATTTCATTTACGGAATAAAGCAAATGATTATACCCTGTTCTTCTAGAATAATAAGAAATAACAAAACATAGGACATAGTTAATTCCTTGATATTTTTTTTTAAAACCATACTGTTACTCGAAATAGGTGTAAAATAAGCAAGTTTGGTATAATTGCAAATGAGTCAACTATCGATCAGAGACTAAATATACCTTAAATGAAAGGAACTTCATTAAAATGATACTAAAGGTCATGATGTGATCCCTACTTATGTTTAATAGGTGGGACTGTAGGAGGATACTAAAGGTCCTGATTCGATCCCTACTGATGTTTAATAGGCAGAACTGTAGGAGAATACTAAAGGTCCTGGTTCGACCCCTTCTGATGTTTAATTGGTGGGACTGTAGGTTGTTCTTTTTTTAAATGTCATACTTCTATCCTTTAAAGTCAAGGTTCAAGGTCATTCTTTTTTTTTTAATTGTGTATGCGTCTTTCCTTCAAGGTCAAAGTTCAAGGTCATTTCTATCATGTTTAATTTTATATTATGTATAAGTCTGTCCTCAAGGTCAGAGTTCAAGGTCATATTTTTAAATGTAACACGTCTATCCTTTAAAGTCAAAGTTCAAGGTCATTTTTTTAATAGTGTATGCGTCTGTCCTTCAAGGTCATTTTTCTATGTATTCCCCCAAAAAATTCCTAGCCCCTTTTTTTTAATAATACCCCAAAAGAAAAACCCTTTTAGAATGCAATTTTAATGTGTTTTGTGAATGAGTATAGTTTTTCATATAAATTTGTTTGGAATTCAATAATTAAACATATACCGTATTTATTACTCCTGTTTAAGGATATTTTAATATATAAGACACACATATATATTAATCCTGTTTTAATCCCACCCGTATGGAAAATTTAGTGTTTTAACATATAGGGTGGGACTAAAAAAGGATTAATATATATAAAAACCACTTTATATTGCTCCTGTTTAGTATATAAGACACATATATATTAATCCTGTTTTAGTCCCACCCCTTTGGAAAATTTAGTGTTTTAACATACAGGGTGGGACCAAAACAGGATTAATATATATAATAACTGTATTTCACTACATTTTTGAAGGAAAACGTCTATTATATATTAATCCTGTTTTAGTCCCACCCTATGGAAAATTTATTGTTTTAACATGCAGGGTGGGACTAAAACAGGATTAGTATATAACACTTTTTTCTCATAATAATTTTTTTTTTTTTTTTTGCTTTTTTTCTAACATTTGTGTAAATATACTTATAATTATACTAAATAAAACATTTCTGTCGTCATTATTTCAATAATCAAACGATATTAAAATTTAATTGAAAAATATAAAATCGATTAGAATCGAGGCAATTAAAACTGTTAAATCCCACGTGGGACTAAAGTGGGATTATGCCCTTAGTTATATAGTATTTGGCTGATTGAAGGATCAAAAATAATATTGTATAAAGTATGATAGTTAAGATAGTGAAACAAACTACGCATACTGCCAAGCACATGTATCACATTCATTGTTTGTTATGAATTTTATCCAATATTTATCTGTATCCGTTGCAAATTTGACAAAACAATGAATTGAAACTGACGTTTAAATCAGCATCAGTTGCTCTATTTGCATATTAGAGTAAAGTGATAATAGGGGATGTGACTCTAAAACCCGTCAAAATATCTTCGTTTGACCAGGAAAGTCAATATGTCATATAATGTTCGTTTACTAGTTACGTAAAGTGAAGAATTCTCTAATTAATCACTCATTCTAACTTGTTTAATAATACAGTAACTTGTTTTGAGTTATACGCATGCTCGCTTTTAACTGTTTTCTAACTAACTACTAGTACTCATTAGTATTATAATAGATTGCATGATAGTCATACCTTATATTTATTCTCATTAATGATAAAACGCTACAATTTTTTAATTAGATTGCATGATAGTCTTACCTTATATTTATTCTCATTAATGTTAAAGCGCTACAATTTTTTAGCATCAGTTGCTCTATTTGCATATTAGAGTAAATTGATAATGGGGGACGTGACTCTAAAACCCGTCAAAATATCTTCGTTTGACCAGGAAAGTCAATATGTCATATAATGTTCTTTTACTAGTTACATAAAGTGAAGAATTCCCTAATTAATCACTCATTCTAACTTGTTTAATAATACAGTAACTTGTTTTGAGTTATACGCATGCTCGCTTTTAACTGTTTTCTAACTAACTATTAGTACTCATTAGTATTATAATAGATTGCATGATAGTCTTACCTTATATTTATTCTCATTAATGTTAAAGCGCTACAATTTTTTAATCAAATAATATCATTTCAATTGAAAAAAACTTGCATTTTTAGATTAAGTATTTCCATTTTTGATGTTTTTTCGTACCATAATTCTTTATTTCATTTAATAAAACTTTCATTTTAGTTGTAATCGTATATTTTGAGTTTAATTGTGATACCTAAACATATTATTTAATAAACATATGTCGTCTTTCATTACAACCGTAATTTCATAGGGTTCCATGAAGGTATGGCAGATATTGTGAGTTTATCATTCCAGACACCGGAGCACATGCACGCCATAGGCTTATTGGATTCCATCCCAAACGATCAAGGTACGTTTATTTTATTTAGCTATGGTAAGAACAGTGCCCCTCTTCGGGATGGCAAGAATCATTTGGTAACATCGAATAATTACAACCTGGTATTTAGTTGGGTTTTTATTGGCTAAAAACTAGGACCCTTTTTTATCTTTTATTTTTTCGTTAAATATCTTAGCTAAATTGAAATATTATATCTTCACTCTTAAATTCTTTCATTTGTCTAGCGAGAAGAATTATGTTTATCAAACACCGACCTTTCGACAATACAATACACTTTCGAAAAGTATTATTCTCGGTTTGTTTATAATGCTATAATAATAACAATAAAGAAGGACACAAGAGAGCTTAAGTTATAAGTTGTACTGTTCAGTTGCTTTATTTAATTAGTGAAATAACATTCACGTCCTTGTTATATGCGCACACCACGAATCTTCCTTTATTACATAGATTGTTTAGATTACATTTGTTTTTCGGTTGTTTGAAGTTGTCTTTTTCCGAGAAACAATTATTTACAGAAAAAAAACCGCTATGCCTGGATAAAAGGACACACTAGGTTCTGTAAATGAGACAACTGTCAATGAATACAATAAAAAAATGCACAACGAGTCATCTTTAAAATAAATGCATGTTGTGATTAGACAAGTTATAAATACAAGTTACATATTATATTTCATTTATGGTCAAATATATATCTACGCACACTTTTTTAACACTGAGGTGCACTCTATCACGTAAAAGTTATATTTCTAAATAAAAGGCCGTAGTTGAATATCATATCAAGTAAAACACGATTTAAAGCAGCGTTTTATAAGAACTAATGATTATATTTAAAAAAAAAGATGAAAGTTCTTGTGTCCGAGTAAAAGGTCGTTATATATCCGACATTTTAATTAAAGATTCTGTTATTAAAGTTTAAATTCAAAATTAAATATTTCAATTTGAAATTTATAGAAAACAAGAATGTGACCATAGTACACGGATGCCCCACTCGCACTATCATTTTCTATGTTAAGTGAACCGTGAAATTGGGGTCAAATCTATAATTTTGCATTAAAATTAGAAAGATCATATCATTGGGAACATGTGTACTAAGTTTCAAGTTGATTGGACTTCAACTTCATCAAAAACTACCTAAATTTTAACCTGAAGTGACCAAAAACTTTAACCTGAAGCGGGACAGACGGACGAACGGACGAACGGACGCACAGACCGAAAAACATAATGCCCCTAGGTGGGGCATAAAAAGATTGCAAAAACCAATCAGTGGACTTTAAATTCCAACCTTTGGACATTCTTACCCATCCCTCGTTAAATATGCCACAATTTAGAAACTCGTCTGATTCAATATATCCAATTTGAAATTTTGAGTTTAATACATTGAGTTTTGAATCTCAAAATTCACGTATATAATCTAGAATTTTGAATTTCTACCGCTGTAATAGCTAAATCCACCTAAGGCCACATTTGCCTAAGATTCTTAAAAGTTAATCATCAACGAAGAATTTAAAATATAGTAAAATATAGATAATACTAATGATAACTGCTGATAGAATGATTACCCTGGGGACTATCTCCAGTATCAGTATATACAGAGTGCTAGAAATTTGAAAATAACACTTTGTTAATCCAAAACGCTTCTCTGGATTTACCTTCATCAGCAACGCTCAAAACCAAAGATTTAAAAACCAAGAAATTATAAATACTTGAATACTTGAAGAGGTATATGATCAATACGGATCTAAAATGAATAACCAAATCCACCTATGGTCAACTTTTCTTGAGGGAGTTGGTACCTCAGTTTCTTAATAATCTATATCAATTAGTCATAGGAAAATTGTAGAAAGGTATGTTATAAAATCACGTCAGTGGCGAATCACTAACTACTGAGGTGATGATATCATCGAGGACTAGCAGTTCACCAGCAGCGGTATCGCCCCAGTGCTCGAAAAATAAAAACAACATTATAAATTTGGTGCGTCCAAAGCATACGAAAGACTGGTAGGGACATTCCATCTTTTAAATTTCTCATTTTCATTTTGACATTTCTAACTCCAAACTTGACATTTCTCAGGGTTTTTTTTATTATAACTGACAGTTCTTAGTTCCAAGTTGACATTTCTCTGTTCCAAATTGACATGTTTAAGTTTGAAGCTGACATTTCTCAGTCCCAAATTTAGCAATATTATCTTTGCCGCAAGACTTCTTCGATCTTTGCCAGTGAAGTTGTTTTTGTCTCTTTTCTCCTAGTTTATGTTTCTTTGAAAATAATTTCTTTGTTGTTATTTGGTAATTTCTCTCCCTCAATTTTTTTTCAATTTACGTTTCTTAATTTGATTATTTGAAAAATTGTGATAGTCGTCGTATGAGCCTGGGGTCTCGGGTTTTCGAAAGTATCTTATGACTAAGATATGTCTTACGATGGTCTTAGGACATGTCATAGTCGTAAGATATGTTTCCGAAAGTGTCCCAAGTTACGATATGTCATAAATTTTATCGTAAACTTAAGACACATCGCGACATTACTTATGATGGTCTTATGATTATCATAAATTTACGACATCACTTCCATTGTTCTAAGGTGATCAGTGTCATTTACTGCACATATCGTTGCACATGCAACCTCTTAAAAGTGTTCAAAATTAAATAACAATTCATGTATAATAATACATGAACGCGAAGTTCTAGAGTTTGTACATAAAAACCAAATTCAAACAAATTATCAACTCAGATTTTAATTTCTTTTCATATTTGTTTTCATGTTCATTATAATAATAAAAAAAATTGTAAATTATGAGAATGGTAATAATTTTTATTTTCATACTTATTTTCATCATTTTTTAAATTATTATTTGAAAAATAAAATGAAAATATGTTCACTTACGACAGTCATAAGAGCATCATAGGTATGACTATCGTATGACAGCTTTGATTTTCATTCTATGACATATCATACTATGATAGTCATAAGATGGTCATAAAATTTGTCCTAAGATATTTCTTATGACATATCTTAGGATACTTTCGAAAACCAGGTCCCTGATTTTTTTTTTTTATCTTTCTTAATCTCATTTTGTCAACACTTTATTCATAAGAGGTGCGTTGAATTTATTTTTTTCTCATAAAAAGTGGCTTATACTGGTGTTATAATTCATAATTCATATTTTATCGATTTAAACTCGAACAAATAATGATCATCATATACGTTTTAGTTTACGATCTTGACATCAATTACGATGTAACAAATGGCAACATTTTATGATATCTTCTGAAAATTCTATTCCCTAAAAATAAACTTTATAAAATATGCACAACGTTTGAAATAGAAATACGTGTTATTTTGCTGCCATTGTCAGTTTTTTATATTTTAAGGTAGATCGGGTGTCTAAATTATTATAACTGCAAATGATCAACTTTCAATTTTTACTATTATTTTTAGCAAATTTGATGCAGAAATGAAATTAATTTGTGAAGTATTTATTTAAATGAAAAAATAATAAAAATGAGTTTATCTGATGGTTAAATTTTTTTTTCATTTAAAAAGAAAATGCTTTCATTGATTAAAATTTTTAAATCATGGTCGTTTTATCTGGCAAATAATTCAGAAAATTTATTTTATAAAGGAATTTACAATATATTTACCTATGTTGTGATGAAGTAAGAAAACGAGTTCGAGGATGGAATTCGTTGTTTTTTTTGTTTGTTTTTTTTCTATCGTAAAGCACTTTATATAAGAGATTTCTTCTCATATATATTGTATTTAAAACTCAAGTGTTTTGTTTTCTCTTTATTCACATGTATGATCCTTACACAATCTGATAATTTTTCACAAACTTATGCTTTAGAAAATGTCGACTACTGGTGTCTATGCTATTTATTATGTTTTTGAAATTACAGCATTTTGGCAAAGTATGGAAATCTCTATCCCTTTTCATACATAACCAAATCTTCTCATTTTGTGATACAAGATACATAAAATGTATATATTTATTTAAGTAACAGCTTTCGTAAATATACAAAGATCAACATTTCTTGAAATGAAGTATGCATTTAGTCATTATGAAACGATTTTTATGAATTTATAATCTGTGACCATAGATATAATAGCTATTATATCTATGGTCACAGAAATGTCCTTACATGCAAAGTGGTAATAAATAAATAAAAAACGACGACTTTTATGTCATCACTGGTCATTTCACGACGCTTCAAATCACTTCACAACCTGAACATCTCTCTTTTATGTGTCATTCTAAATGACAAATTATATTTTGTTTTGTTTAATACTTAACAATAAAACGTTTTTGACGATCGTTTGGAATAATTCCGTAAACTTACATAGCCGTTGATATCTTTCTCTCCAAATCCTCGCAAGTCTCATTAAATCTAGTGGAGACAAGTAACTATATCATATCATAAGGAAAAGTCTACGAGATTCTAATCCCATTAGTATACTAGTCCCAGGTTAAACTGTACTTGAGAGTGTCTGAAATCAATACACGGGAGCCTGCTACCACGATGTTTGCTGTGCAATCCATCGTCTTTGTCACACAACTATTACCCTAACACTGAACACATAATTGCCCTTTTTCTCTCTCTCAATTGCAAATTAATGTGAAAGACAACTTTTTAAACTTTAATACTCTTCGAATCGCATGCCTATGTAACAGGCAGTTTTGTTGAAGTTCGAGACAATTAACTCCATTCTACCACACATTACTTCTAGAAGTCATAACCTTCTTTTTCATACCCATGTTGCAAGGTAGATGACTAGAGTTTGTTCTACTCACCAGACATCTATTTATTTGTACTATATATATACATGGAGCTTAGAATACAAGTATGGAAACAAAATACTGGCCTTGCAAAATTGCTAAAATAAATTGATTCATATATAAAGTTTCGCGGATTCCTGTAATACCAAAATGCTAGGAATTAAGGGTGTATAGCTTGATTTTGAATCGTTTAGGTATAATCTGGCTCACGGGCGAAATAAATAAGATGTCTCACTTTTG